AGAGAGACAGCTCAGGGGGCAGGAGTGCATGGACACAGGGAAAAGGTAACTATGTGGAGGAAGTGGGAGGGGAGCTGTTGCATTGTGGTAAATGTGGTCAATGTCACGAGACAAAATATATGTGAACTGCTTTATGGAAAGTGAATTTGCTCTGTAAACCTTCACCCAAATCACAATTTCAGAAAATAAATAAATAAATAAACTTCTCACTAAAAGTTCAACCAAGATGTAGCTCCAGTTTTTCAAACAGCTTTTTTGTTGTTGTTGCTAAGTTTAAGATCAGAAAAATCAAGTGACTTGTTCAAGGTCATTTGGTTAAATCGGGTGGGATTAGAATTACTGGTTTCTGCATTTCAAAAGTCAGCCACAACTGCAGCATTTCTTAAAATTAATTAAGTCAGCTCTCTCTCTTTCTCTGCCCTCATGTTGCGTGAGGCTGCCTTCTATCCTTACTATGTCTTCTCAATAGACTTTCAGGATCAAGAGATTCCTGGCCAAAAAACAAAAGCAGAATCATCCCGCTCCCTGATGGATTCAAATGAAAATTGGTAACAAAATCAGGTATAACTCCAAGAGGACACTGGAGAAGACCCGAGCTGGGCCTACAGGGAGTTGCATGTGATGGCACACTATTTCCCCAGGTTCATCAGCACTCCACTAGATCAAGTTCACAGCATTCTACCAGATCAACTTTAAAATTTCACCACAATCTAAGCAACTGAACATACATTGAGAAACTTTTTGGTTTTTCCCTTTGTTTTCATACTTCTGCATCAAGAGACTGATTAATATGTATGTGAGACCTCTGATTGGTGGGGAAGAGGAAAACTAGGCCAAGAGGGAAAATTTATTCACCAATTCCTTTCTTCAATAATCAAAGGACAGTAGATTAGCGGAAGTGGTACAACTCTGATTAATAAAACTTAATTGTATGTAATCATTTTCAAAGGGCAAAAATCTCAATACCACCTTAACATATGACGGTACCATAAACTTACTAAGATGTTTTAGAGTCAGCACTTCATACATCTACCTACAAATAGCTCACTTCTGTTATCGTTTAAAGACCTAGTCAGATGGAATATGGATGGACTCTGAGCTCTTGGATTTTTTTTTTTTAAGTTAAAGGATCCTAAGTAAGTTCAAAGTTTTCTTCAGAACCTTAAAAGGAATGGTGATATTTCCACATTGCAGGTGAAACAAGTGATTAAATGAAAACTGTTGTGGGAAGGGGACTGGGGAGAAGAGGCATATCTGCATTTTTATGCACACTACCTTTCCCTTCCCTTTTTTATATCCACCACCTGCTCACACCTTCTGCCCCATGTTTTAGGTTCTATTTTTAGAAATAACAAACCATCACAGAATAACTTTTGTCTCACCCTTGAGCACATATATTTCTCACACCCAAATTTTGAGTCATCTGTACATATTCCTTTTGAATTGATCACAAAAACATCATCATGTCTGATGAAACCCTACTTTGAAAAAATATTATCTGGACTGGGGTGGGGATAGGAAAGAAGTAAGAAGAGCACTTTTATTTATTACAAACAAGCTACAGTCATAGTTAGTAATTCTCATACACAGTTTTCTAGGTCAGGTGACACCCATACCCCCATTTCATAGATGACTGTCGTGTCCAAGAAAATTTCCATTTGCTCTTTAATTACAGATTATTTATATTTGACATTTGTCTGTTAACCAGAAGGTTGGTGGTTCAAACCCACCAGCCACTCCGCAGAAGGAAGACTGGGCAATCTACTTCCGTAAAGATTTACTGCCTTGGAAACCCAAAGGGAATCGCTATGAGTTGGAATTGACTTAAAGGCAGTAAGTTTGGTTTTTTTGATTGTATTTAGAGCTGGCATTAGATCTCAAAGAATCCTGAGCTCATGGTCAGGCGGAGAATTTTACTGGTTATATTACACATGAACAATTTAAAACTTTAACATGATTTTTCTCTCATTTAAATTCAAGTCCACCTATTTCTGAATATAGTTATAACATATTTTTGCAGTAATGACTTCTCTTCAGCCCTTGAGTCCAAAGTGACCACAGGATAAACAAAGCAAATCAAAAGCCAAGGTTGGAAAAAAATTAAACCTGGAAGGCAATACAAGCCTGACACTTTCCACTATGTCAGAAAACAGAAATGTCATTATTTCATTATTTGGAAATGGATTACAGTGAACCATATGAAATTGTTGATATATAACTACTTTTGACCTGCAAAAACCAGAAATTTCACATAGTTCAACCTACTATATTCTAACCTCACTCTTATAACTGTTTCAAATAAGGCCCTAAATCACATAAAATCTTCTATTTCCCTAAAAAAAATAAAAGAAAACCAAACCTGTAGCTGTGGAGTTGGTTCTAACTCACAGTGACCATACAGAACAGAGGAGAATTACCCCATAGGACTTCCAAGCAGACGGATTCATCTTTCTCCAGTGGAGCTGCGGGTATGTTCAAACTGTCAACCTTCTGGTTAGCAGCTAAGCACTTAACCACTGCACCACCAGAGCTCCTTTACAATGCCCTAAATTACCTTAATGCTTTGAAAAGATTTGCCACCCCACTGCCAAAGATGGCCATTTGAAGGCTCAAGTTCATTGAATGGAAAGTAAAACTGCCAAATTACTATGACTGTGTGAACCTTAAAACCACTCCACATCCTTCTTACTGGTTCTTTTTCCCACTAACAGAATTTGAATCCTAAATGCATCTGCCCTTTATAAAGACTTCTATTTAAAGAAGTTGAAAGAACAAAAAGAAAACTCAAGTTCTTCGCCTCTTTCAGTTATCAGTGATACAGCAGTAGCCCATCATTTCACACACGGGTTCAATGACCTAAAAATTGACAGTTGAGAAATTTTAATTAAGTTGGTAAGTTTCATTTCTGTTGGAGAATCTGGCTTCTAACTTTTCTAATCAAAAGACGATTATCATCCCAGTGGGATATATTTTTCCATCTAGATACCTGATTTATGCACTCACACCAAAAATAACTCTTTTTCACTAAAGGAGAAAAAGGGGGCATGGTACCAAGACTGCCTCTAGTCCAGGTCCAAATCCATCATTTCACCTCCATATTTATTAGAGTCGAATATTCAGTATGCTAAGGAACTCTTTTCAATTCCACTCATTACTCACCCCTTCTTCTGCCAAAATTCCTATCTTTTTACCATCTATTCACCAAAGCCATCATCAGACCACATAGAGGGGCGTGTTTCCTAAGACACTTAGTGAACTGTTAGGACAAGCTGATGTTCCTTAATCTGTCTTCCCACACCTGGTTTATAGTACAAAGTATCAATATCAGCCTTTGCATGAAAAATGTTTAAAAAAAAAAAAAAAAAACAGCAGAGAACCTCCTGCTCTATCTGGAAACTTCTCTATTTAGCTAGCTCAGTGTTGACAGTTCAACAGAGAATAGCACTAGTTACTAGAATCCCAAAAGATAGCTCCCTATTGCTAAATCATCAACACTTTCCTAAGACCCAAATAATTCAGAATTCTTATGACAGCATTTACATATCACCCACCCCAGGACCTCCTGATCATTTTTCACTCTAAACTGAGATTTTCTCTAGAACCTCCATGGTGATGCCAAGTCACATCAATACATTCCTTAAACCCACCCACTCCCTTCTTCCTATAGTTACATATAATAATAGCTACCATTTTCTAAAAGCACAGTGATAAGTGCTTTAAAAGGGATTTATCTACTTCAATCCCTAAAACTCTGAGGCTTGCATCAGTATTCCCATTTTACAGATGAGAAAAGCCGAGGGTGAGTAACTTGCCCAAGGTCACACAGGGCAGAGATCAGAATCCAAGTTTGACTTCAGTGTCCTCTGCCCTTAAGCTTCAACAACTGTATTTCCTTCTCATCTCCTCATGTCATAAATGTCTACTTTGTGATCTTAAAGTCTATGCTTGGGGACGTTCAGTGTCCCCAGAGGCTGTCTTTCCTTTAAAGGATGTCTTTGATGAGAAGAGTACCCACTCCATCTTTTCTCCATGCTCCCCCTTCCCACCTGGCACCACTTCCCGACAGCCCTTGTCGTATCCCTTCCTCTAAGGCCAATTAAACTTCCCCTCTGTCCCCAGAGCACCACTGAGGAGCCACGGTCCATTCTCAGGGCCAAGAGCGCAGAAGTGAAAGAAAGGGAAGTGAAAGAAAAGGAAGAGTCCAGACAGCATCCCTTGCCCAGGTTTTGGATTCAGGAGGAAACTATGGCTGAGGACTGGGGGTCTTGAGAACTGGGGACTGGGGGAGGCAGAGGTGACACGGGCATGCCCGTCGGGAAGGGGGAGACGAGGAGGCGTGGGACGCTCAGGAGGTTAGGAGACTGAATGGGAGGCAGACCTCCGTAAGGGAGAGTTGGGGCTGCCACCCGGCGTGGAAAGGGATCTGGCCACTTGGAGAGCGTGTGTGTTGGGGGAGGACCTGGAGGTGGACATAATGGGGAAGTGAAGGGAAGAATGGGAGGGAAGGAGCTCAAGGAAGCAGGGAACCCGGAGGACAAGGATGGATCGCACGGAGGAGGTGGAGAAGCCTCGAGACCCCGGCACGAGGGTATGGTGAGGCGGGGCGGGCGGCCGTGGGGGTTCGGGATGCGGGGAATGCCGGGAACCAGGGCTGGAAGGGACCCCGGGGAGAGGGTCGCTGACGCGGGAGTTCTCGAGCCCAGGGACCGGGAAGTGAGGCGAGGGCGGGAAAGGGGGCCCGGCACCGAGCGGGGGGGTGAGGTGACGGCTTCGACAGGCTCGCGAGGGGATGAGTTAGGAGGGGGCAGGGTGTGGGCTGGAGGCTCGCTGAGAGGCGGAGGTTTCCGGGAGCCCGTCGGGATGCAGAAGGCGGGAATGTCGTGGCGTCCTCCCAGGGTCAGGAGTGGGGTCTCCCGAGGGCCGGGGTCCCCTCAGGGCGGGGCGGGGGTTCCTGGGGTCCCCCCCCCGAAGGCCAAAGCGGCTCCCAATCCCCTTCCTACCTATGCCAGGCGCTACATAGACGAAGTACAGCAGCGAGGACGAAAACGAGAAGAAGAAGAGCGCAGCCAGCAGCGAGCGGCGCGGCAGCCGCAGCCCCCGGCGGGCGCTCATGCTGCAGCTGGGCAGCCGCCTGAGGGCCGGGCCGG